GATATGATATAACCAGATAGTGAAGTGTGAAGGGGCAAAAAAGTATTATTTAATGAAATAAGGCTGCAAAAATCAACCGACTGATTGACAGACTAACAATGGAATGACCATCCAATCAATGAGAAACTGTCTGCTACTAAACCAATACGACTAACAGAAATAGGGAAAATAGCATGTTAAACGTAATAGGGACTGACCAACAGACATATAGAAGTTTGGAGATATTTAACAAAAACTTTATTCCGATGACATTCAATTTACACTTTTAGACTTGATTTAACCAAACCTAGGCAGCATGGTGATGATGCATTGAGGCTGATTATTTTTTGAAAATAACAGTCAACAATTAAAAAAAAGCAATTATTTGCATTAAAAAAAATTATCATGTATACGATAAAAAATATTTTCATAAATCAAGTCAAATTTATAATAATAATAATGAAAAAAACGATAGAATATAAAAATATTTTTTATCGTTAATCGTTATCATTTTCGTATAACTAGGCATTTATTTACTTTAAAAATTTTAGTACCACTGATGATTAACATCCATCCAACATCCATTTTATACCCCAGCGTTGCCTTTAAGTAACCTAATTAGGACCATCCAGGCATCCCTGTGCAATTTGGGCTTGTTCAGACCATTTTTAAAATCTGACCTTTAACATTTCTATAAAAATTCACTACATTTTCAAAAAGCCAATCATTTTAAAAAAGATTTTCCTTTCATGACCTTTTTGACCTTCAACTTCAGAAAAAATATTTACAATGTCACAGGGACTATCCCTGTCCAATTTGGGCTTGTTCAGAATTTTTTTTAAATCTGACCTTTAACCTCTATATAAAAAATTATAAAATTTTAAAAATGCCACAACCATCATAAAATGTGAAATTTGTTTTTTAATATGACAACGTACATAAGGATTCGGCTCACTATATATTGTACATTGTTACATTTGTGGTTAAATTGTTGTTACAATAGTGGATAATGATCTTTGTTACGACAGTGGTTAAATCGTTGTTACAATAGTGGTTAATGAATTATTACAATAGTGGTTGATTTTTGTTACAATAGTGGTTAATGTTACATTAGTGGTTGATTTTCGTTACAACAGCGGTTAATGTTACAGTAGTGGTTGATTGTTACATTAGTGGGTGATACAGCCCCTACCACTTTAATATGTATGAGTGTGGCAACTTTCATTACAGTGGCTTTCACTTTACTTTTTCTGTTCTTGTACTGACTTCCATCCCACTTGCAATATTCCATGTTGTTCCCCATAAGTGAAAATTCTATTTTATTTATCTTCAGTCATTTTTCCTGCCTGCGTACTAAGTACATGTGTAGTGGTGTTCCCGCCGTTATGAGTACATTACTTGCAAATATCAATGCATTCTATGCACATACGACAGCAACGACAGCTGTATCTGCAAGTGATAGGTTTGCTGCTTCCAATTTTGGGGTGAGATTTTATTTAAATGTCTATTTGTGTTTTTATTGATTGATATATATTTACATGTGTTCATAATCTCTTCATCCTTGTCATCATTAAAAACACCACTGGTATTAGTTCCATCGCATCAAAATCTGCCTCTTAGATTCTACTGCCACTGCCATCATCATCATCATCTTTGTAGTTATCATTACCACAACAACTAATCCCATCATGATTCCAATTCCAATATCACCTCATCATCATCATTGTTGCTATCACCACAACCACTCAGTCTCATCAATATCATCACCATCACCACAATCATTATTTTCCACTATCACCTCATCATCATCATTGTCGCTATCACTACAACCACTCGGTCTCATCAATATCATCACCACCACCACAATCATCATTTTCAATATCACCTCATCATCGTCATTGTCGCTACCACCACAACCACTCAGTCTCATCAATATCATCACCACCACCACAATCATCATTTTCAATATCACCTCATCATCGTCATCATTGTGTCATCATATGTGTTTATTCTTGTGCATTATGTAATGTTCTCCATCATAACTACCACCGCCAGTTCATTTATCATTTTTGTCTTCTGCATCATTATCATCATCATCGTCTTCATAATCCTCTTCATCCTTGTCATCATTAAAAACACCACTGGTATTAGTTCCATCGCATCAAAATCTGCCTCTTAGATTCTACTGCCACTGCCATCATCATCATCATCTTTGTAGTTATCATTACCACAACAACTAATCCCATCATGATTCCATCACAATTATTTGTTATTGTCAATATCATCATTGTCGCTATCTTCACAACCACTCAGTCCCAATCAATATCATCACCACCACCACAATCATCATTTTCACTATCACCTCATCATCATCATTGTCGCTATCACCACAACCACTCAGTCTCATCAATATCATCACCACCACCACAATCATCATTTTCAATATCACCTCATCATCATCATTGTCGCTATCACCACAACCACTCAGTCTCATCAATATCATCACCATCACCACAATCATTATTTTCCACTATCACCTCATCATCATCATTGTCGCCATCACCACCACCACAATCATCATTTTCAATATCACCTCATCATCGTCATCATTGTCACTATCATCACAACCACTCGGTCCCATCAATAACATCACCACCACCACAATTATCATTTTCACTATCACCTCATCATCATCATCATTGTCGCTATCACCACAACCACTCAGTCTCATCAATATCATCACCATCACCACAATCATTATTTTCACTAGCACCTCGTCATCATCATTGTCACTATCATCACAACCACTCAGTCTCATCAATATCATCACCACCACCACAATCATTATTTTCACTAGCACCTCGTCATCATCATTGTCGCTATCACCACAACCACTCGGTCTCATCGATATCATCACCACCACCACAATCATCATTTTCAATATCACTTCATCATCGTCATCATTGTCACTATCATCACAACCACTCGGTCCCATCAATATCATCACCACAACCACAGTCTTCATTTTCACTATCAGCTCATCGTCATCATCATCATTGTCACTATCATTACCACCACAACCACTCAGTCCCATCAATATCATCACCAACACCACAATCATCATTTTCACTCTCACCTCATCATCATCATCATCATTGTCACTATCATCACAACCACTCGGTCCCATTAATATCATCACCACCACTACAATCATTATTTTCATTATCACCTCATCATCATCATCATCATTTTCACTATTATTACCACCACTCAGTCACATCAATATCATCACCACCACCACAATCATTATTTTCACTATCACCTCATCATCATCATCATCATTTTCACTATTATTACCACCACTCAGTCACATCAATATCATCACCAACACCACAATCATCATTTTCACTATCACCACATCATCATCATTGTCGCTATCGTTACAACCACAACCACTCACTCCCATCAATGTCTTCATTTCACTATCACCTCACCAAAATTATATCGATAGAATTTGATTAAAATACGGTATTTAACTGTAAATTTAGGGCACTTTGTGAAATATTACAAATCATTTCAAAATCTAAAAGATGTGGGATTGTGTTTTCACAAATTCTAAAGTAGATGTTGCTTTTAACAAAGAAAACTATATAGCTAAATTTTCAGTACTTGGAGCATTTCCTCCACTTATTTTCCATAACCAATCATTCTGTTTTGTAATTATTTCAAAGTAATATAATTTCTACTTACTAGAGATTATTTTAAAATGAAACCAAATCCCAAACTGAATTATTTTTTTATCCTTGTAATAATCAATTAAGCTTTCTGATAAAAGATGGAATACTGATGTTAAAAATATTGTGTTAGTGTACTTTAGTATTGATTAAGAAAGGATTTTTTTGTATTATTTGATCTTGAAATGGGTCCCATAATGGATTGAAAATCCTTGTCTGTATTTTCACTACTATTTTTAATCAAATTGAATACTCTCCCCCATTTCAATTAACCTAAATGATTTCTTATCTAGATGTTGCTTAGTAATATTTCATTTCATGATACCAGATTAATTTTTTTATTGTCATTTTCTTTTTTTCTGGAAAACAGAAAGACCGATTTGTCAAGACGCTGGATGGATTGCACAATGCAGTCAGGATAGACTTGTCTATGTATCGGGTAAATTCATTATCTAGTTTTTCAACCCTTATTTATCGATGATATCGTAAATGATCTTAAAAAGCACTTTACTTGTGCCACTCGAGTTCAAGTTGAAGTTCAATTTATTTTCATATACAAAGTAAATGAAATTTATTTTCCAAGGTTTACAATAAAAATAATGACATGCTAAAAGACAATATAAAGATACGATATAAAATAAGTTAACCTATGCGTAAAATGATATAAAACATTATAAATATAAAAACCGATAAACATTGCAAACAATTGCACTGTAGTCAAGTAAAATATATAAAAGTGCAGTACACTTACATACTAGGATAAAATTCAAAATATCTCCAGTTATTTCTTAATTAAGAGAACATATTACAACATGTTGTGATGTTTTGTATCATGTATTATACAACCAATTTCTCATGCAATTAAGTAATACTAATGTTTAAAACACATTGTACCAGTTTAACACACAATAATTTTTACTAAGCACAGCTGCAAATAAGTGGCTCTCGAATAAAGTTTCGCTCTAAATGCCACCAATAACTATATCAGCATAACAGTGCCTGGTATGTAAATTACAGCATACTGTCTGGTAAAATTTAAAAGCCCATAGAAAATTCAAGTAAAAAATTAAATTGTACATTTAATGAAATCAAATAAATTTTATTAACTTTCAAAAGAGCCTGGATCAAAATGACATAGATTGGAAGAATTTAGTTCTTGCTTTTTTTTTTTTTTAATGCAGAGATTTATAAGAAATTGTGTTATTTTAATCGTGGAGAAAAACGTTTTCTTGGCTTATTTTTTTCAAATGAAAGCTAATATCTTACAATAATAATGTTGTTACTATCATAATTAATGGCCATTTGTGGCAAAGACAAGTCAAACCAGTCACTCGTCGGAAAAATCAATTTTTAGTTATTAATATAGGGTTTAACAGTAAAATGAGAGCTATAAAATGGTAAAAGAATCATTTAAATCCGACACTTCGTTATGAAGTTACACGAGTTTAAACATACAGCTGTTTAAAGAACAATATTTGNGTTTACGATTTCAGGCATTTCTTAGGCAGAAACCATCACCAAATCGTTAAAAATTGTTGTTTCAACATTGAAAATGAGGAAAATAACAGCATAGCATGATGTATAGATATATAAAGGTTAGTTTAGTGCAATAAAATAGATTTCCAAAATTTGGAAATTCCAGCATGTTTTGGCCATTATCTCCAAAACAGGATTTGCGACGAGTGACTGGTTTGGCTTGTCTTTGCCACATTTGAATAATTGTATTTCACAGAAATGACAATAACCAATCTAGAGCACCATCACTATCATCCAAAGTACCGTGCCTCTGCAAATGTCAAGGCAAAGAAAACAACTGGAATTAGAAATTCATAATTCGTGTAACCTTAGACAAATCTAGACAGTTGATAAACATAAATGGGAAATGTTCTTGATAAAACATGGCGTACAAAATGAAAAAAAGCAATATGGCATTTAGCAGCAGCAAGATGTTTCTATTACATAATAGAACATTTATTCTATAATACTTAAGGTGCATATTACTTCAAGGATAAGCCTAAAATATAGTATAAAACTTATCAGTTACTAACTAACCATCTACATTATTTGCTTAAGACCTGTTTATACTAGCAACAATAATGATAAGAAGCTAAAAAGCAACTGTTCATATAGAAAATAAAAGAAATAAATGAAGATTTTACACTAAGAGGATTCGATAACGATTTGGAAAAATGATAAAATCTTAGTATTAACAACGATTTTGTCGTTTTTTTCATGATTATGACATCATTTGAATTGACTTGTAAAAATATATTGTTATCGTATACACGTTAATTCATTATTAAATCGTCCCAGTGTAAAAACTTCTATTTCTTCTATTTCCTATATGAACAATTGCTTTTTAGCTCTTTATCGCTATCATTATCATTGCAAGTATAAACTGGCCTTTATCTTTGAAGAAATAAGTACCTGTGTATATATTGAAGCCAGATGAAATTCTTAGAGATTTTTGAAATTCATCACAGATCAAAATTGTTGTAAAACTCTGATTTAAATTTAAATTTTTAACCTTTACAGGAGAATTTTCCAGCAGACAGTAAGGAAAAGCTTGCTGATCTAAAATCAATGGTTGATCTTCTTACAAGCATTGCTTTCTTTAGGATGAAGGTAATTATTTTTATCATTTAGAAAATCATCAATAAAATAAAAAGATAATTAAAATACATTTGTGTAGCATATTGGTAAATCTTGGCTTTCTAAGCAAACACCAGCAGTGGTTTTGTCAACGGATCCCATCAATGACTGCCAAGTGTCTTCAAAAGAAGACAGCTACTACTGTATACCAGTAACAGTAATTTTTATTGTAGGTAAGACATTTCAGGCATGTTATCACAATGGCTAAACTATAATGGGGAAACTCTAGAAATCATTGCTTCACTATAAAGCAGTTTAATATCTAATTAATCATGTCCCACAGACTTTTCTAGAAATGATCAATAATTAAATCATTTAATTTCACATCTTTTGGTGGATAATTCCATTTAAAAAAAAATTGTATTCACAAATAACTTTGGAAGGTGATCACTTAAAATCATCTTTATATTTAACTTCACAATTGCTTTACTTTTACTCTCCTATAACTAAGACTTGAAATGTCTAAAAATACCAAAACTTATATAGTAATTATTTCTTGAGCTTTTCATTTTGTCACATGAAGCTTAATTGGAAAACCTCTGTCTCAGTTTGTTGCCTCTGCAATGTTGCGTAGTGTGAGATGGTTTTTTTTTAAATGAAAAATAAGCCTAATGGATTTCTAATTGCATTAACCATGCACAAATTTTTAATGGATTTCTGATTTCATTATCCAGACACATTTTTGACATTAATACTCTATCATGACGATTACTGTTTTAATGGGAATCAATCTGATATGGTTAGGTGCAAGAACTCGCAAGTCCTCCCAGAGCAGCGAATGTAGTGGGTGACTGTGTAACGGCGTGTCTCAGGTCTACTTACACGTATATGTACGACAATTGCCATGAGACGTACGAATTCCAAATGGGGCAAAGTGAGCAGCCAGAGGTTTCTGACACAGACACGGGCAATGGCCCGAGCAACAGGAATTTGGATTTCTGGGCCAAACTAATTCAGTTACTGACCTCTGTCATAGAACAGGATAAGGAAACTTACACAGGAGTTCTTAATCAGTAAGTTCACAAATTTTTGTACATTTTTTCCTTCATGGCTCTTGGAAAGGAAACTATCAAGTATAATTTCTTTTAGACTTTGGCGAGTCGAGTGGCCAAGCAGTAGGGGCGCTGATAACTACAGCCTTAGCATCGGCGCTGGTTCAAGCCACTTTTCACCCAGTTTTCAGTTGATAGAATCAAGTATTCTTGGATAAGGACTTAAAATGGGAGTCAAGTGTACACATTTGGCTTGTGTACACATTAAAGTACCCATTGCATTTTTCAGAAGTAGGGTGTTACACCAAAGGTATGATTCATTTCAGCCCCATTCGTTGTGAAATGGAACTTTACAGCTCTAGAATATATTTTTGGGGGAGGGGGAGGCTATGCTGTCCGACAGGAAGACTTGAGCTTGTAGGCTCGAGCTGAGGGAAGGGGTTGAAAGAGGGAATTCCCCTCTTTAATTAGATTTTTTTCAGAATAACAACCTCTGGATGGCTGGAAATGGTACTCTCCTACTGTGACAGACATGTGTTGGCTTGGTGTGGGCCTATTATTATATGTTTTGTAGTCTGACTGCCTGACGAGTCCGGCAGTTGGGGGGGTTTGACCTGTCCGGTAGGGGACTAAGCCCCCTTGTCCCCCCGCTGGTGCCGCCACTGGTCACAGACCACGCCCATATGCGATTCAGCAGAATGTTGCTGTGAGTTACTTAGATGTAATACCAATGTTGTAAGACCTCTCTCGTATAACATTATATTTTATTGCAGGTTTCCAAATGAATTGAATGTTGGCCAGAGGAGTGCAGACATCATGTGGACAGGCTTTGCTAATGATCTCAACAGTGCCCTCAGTGGTTTGTTGGAAAACTTATTTTTTTAATATCAATATCAATACTAATTACATAAGTATACTAAACAGAACAGTTATATACTAATTAAGGTATAAATAATAAACGAATAATTTTTAATAAATAGGTAAAGGTAAATAGAAAAATAATTAATACATGTAATGGAAAATTGTGTAGTGGAGTTGAATAGCTTGGTGGGCAAGATGCCTGCCTGCCTTCCAATCCCAGTCCCTGGGTTTAATTCCTCTCATGGTAACAGGATTCTTTTCTCACGACCAAAACAATTCCCTAATTCTCATAACGAGATTTAGTTTATGTGGAGCATTTTGTGTTTATGTTTGTCTTATGAAGGGATATGTCATTCGTGAGGCGCTATATAAATCCAGAATAATAATAATAATAATAATAATTATTATTATTATTATTATTATTATTATTATTATTATTATTATTATTTGTGATAAATGTCACTTGTGAAAGTGATTAAGTTCGCTGTTTGGCAAATCCTTGGCCAGAACAGTTAAATACTAATTAAGTTATGAATAATAAAAAATAAATAAATAGTTTTTTTATAAATAATAAATAGGTAAATGTAAATAGTTAATACATGTCTTTGGCCAAACCAAGAAAATAGACAAATAATGAATTTTCAATAGATGGATACATCAAGAGACGAATTGATGGATTGATATATAAAATATATGATATAAAAATGTACAAATGCCTTTTTAAAATTTAATGTCTTTTAAATTTTAATATAAATATTTTTGATGTTTTATTACTATCCAAAATGTGTTCTACATATAATTTAATTCAGCATGTTGTGATTTTTTTTATATAAAAAGAATTGAATTGAATGAATGATTTGACTGTTTTAATCTTTTGAATTATTTGTCACTTCACAGACCATGAACATGAGCGATTGTGTACAAGTGCAGAATACATGAACTTACATTTTAAGGTGAAATGGTTGTACAATCAATATGTCTCGCCTCTTTCTCGGTACAAGGATGCAACTCCTGAATACCCAAGGTATGCAAATTAGTTTTTGGTCAGAGTGTATCATGAACATATAAGTATAAACTTCAACAAGAACCTCAAAAAAATTATGATTGTTGTTCCAGCCCCTATGAATGGCTCCTGAAAGGAATTAATTTACTTACTATACAGTAAAACTTAGAATACAAGCCCTTATGGGCTTACCGTAATCTCGAGAAGAAGCCCATCTCGAACTAAAATGAGAGAGTATGGGTTTCTTTTCGAGATACTGTAGGCCTACATATACTGTACAATTTAATGCCGATTAAAACACTAAATTAAACAAACTGATATTCTCTACTGTAATCTTTTTTTTAAAATGATTTTTTTGTTTTTAACAGGATGTCATGCTTGAAAGATGTTTTCTGTAGTCCCTTGCTTTATTATAGTAATTACCAAAATTTGCAGCATTCATTTAAAAAATAAGCACCTCTTACATTGCAAACGTAGTCTTAAAAAGATGCCCATCTTAGAAAGAAGCCTATCCAACAGTTTTAATTTAAATAAAAGCGCAGGGCTTATATTCTATTTTTTTGCGATATGTTTATGTTCGTAAAACTGGTGATTTTTCACAAACAGTGCTCAAAGGCAATCTCTTAATATGTGTAGAATAATGTGGTTTAATCTAATTAAATCATATTAATTTATATTTTTGTTTTATGTCAAGGTGGTTCCAACCATTTGTTCTTCAATGGTTGGAAGAGAATGAGACACTGTCAATGGAGTTTCTGATTGCTGCTCTTGAGCGAGATAAAAACACCGGTTTTGAGAAGAACTCGGTTCATGCTAAATTTTCGTGCTCTGTAGTAGATGTCTTTACTCAACTGAATCAGAGCTTTGACATCATCCGTAAACTAGACTGTCCGGATCCAACCTGCGTTACTGAATATTTACGGACATTTTCAAGGGTATGTATGGCTATGTTCAAATTTGAGAGCTATGGCAGGTTAAGCCATATTGTACTTAATTACTTAATGCCATTAAGTAATGCAGGGTGTATGTTATTTCATGGTGTAACTAGTAACATGTCAAGCACTCACGATTAATGCAATGCTAGCGTAATTATTTGCAAAATATAGAATTTTGTAATATTACACTTTGTATTTATATGTTTAATGCTTGCGGTACACCATTTAAAAAGTTCTGAAAAAAACTGTTGTTTGTTGAGAATGTCTCACACTTTTTTTTTCTTGTTAGATCTAGGCTTTTTGTGATTGGTCAAATCCTGGCCTAAGCCAAAAGGGCCACCTTCTATAAATTCTCTCTAAAATTCCCTCATCAATTAATTTTTGATAGCAACCACCAATGGTAAGTTCATATTCGGCTTGTCTCTAACCTTGAATATTATCTCATTCTTGGTTCTTTTGTTTTACAGACAATAAGTAAGGTGCTTCTTAGGTATGCTGAAATTATAAGCAAAGAGTTCGATAAATATTGTGTTACAGAGAAAAGGGTGAGTATGATAACATTTTTTTGTTTTTTTCGCAGTAACTAAGTTTGTAAAGTTTTTTTTTTAAGAAAAACCTTTACAATTTAATTAAACTAATCCAAGAATATATTGCATAAACATGAACCTCAGTAATTCATAATATCCTTCCAATTAATTGAGTTAGCCCCTATATTTAAGAATTTTAGAATCAATAGAAAATTTAGTGTAATCTGACCAAAATTTCTGTTTAATTGTGAATAACTACCTGTACACTTTCCCTCCTGTTTTGCTCTTGAGATGATTTTCGGAGTAATCTCTATTTTGTGCAATGTATTTGCATTGTACTCTATGTTTTTTAATAATTATTATTAGAATTGTCATTTTATTATCGGTTGTCTAGTTATATGGAGGTCGTGGGTTTGATTCCCACCTGAATCACTTGCACAATTTTTTCGCACATATTTGGGAACGTACTGAGTATTCAGCACGTCAGGTAGGGGAAAATATCACTCCTATGATAGTCGTAAAAGTGCTAACAACTTCTTTCTTACTATTATTGTTGTAATTCATAACATTGTTAATTTTTATTAATAGCGTTATTAATTAATATGCTCTTAATGTTTCTCTTAAAGTTGCAAGCATGTATTTTAATGAATAACATACAACAGTTAAGAGTTCAACTCGGTAAAATGTTTGAGAACATGGGTGGTGAAAATCTGGATGAAAAAACAGCAGAGACTTTGACAAAGCTGCAGGATTCACTTAACGAGGTGCTCGACAGCCTTAGTCAGGTGTACGCCAAAAGGTCAGTGATTCCTGAGTACCCTCTTATCATCTATTTTACTTCTTTATTTAGCATCCATTCATGATTCAGAACAATTAAAATGTCAGTATATAATATAAAAAGATACATATATTATTAAAAATCTAAAATAATTTACAAATTTGCCTATAATATATAAATAAAGGATACAAGTACGAACCTTTAAAAATCAACAAAAGTTAAAGTATTTCCTATGAGGTCTTTGCAGAGACACTGAAAGATATAAATATTGAAGAGAGCCGGATCAGGAAACATGGATATATCAGGGCCAGAATTGAAAGACAAATATGCAAAGAATATAGTATAGAATTTTAACATAAAAGTCAAGTAGAATATTGAAAGTAATTTGTAGAGTCTAAAATTTAAGCTGATCATACATTCTCTCTCTCAATTAAGTTAACCTTTCGTCTATTGGTTATTTTGAGTAACTTAAAACTTATTCCAGATGATTGAAATAACAAGTAAGAATTTAGGTTTTATATAAAAGAAATTTCACATCTGTTATTAAAACTTATTTTACTCTGGGTAATGTCTCCCTGTCTCTTTTATTGAATACACTCCCTATCATTTATTTTGGTGTGTATTATTCCTGTCGATAATACTGATTATTGTAAATTCCTTATGTTGAATACAATCAAGCAATTACTCTCTTCATCTTCTTTCCCTTCTCTCAGTTTCCATTGCCATCTACTACAGTACATCAATTGCAGGACTAAAAAGAGGAAGCAATACCTCTTCTCGTCCTCCCTCCCCTCTCGATACGCCAGTTAATTGGACTGAGAAGAATAAGCAGTTATGCGTCTCCTTGTCCCCTCCTTGTTTTCATTGCTATCCAATACACAAATTACTGACTGAAACGAGTGAGTGATGCTCTAAATAGTGAAAACAACGCTTTGGGAATGGAAGTATTGTTATTAGTAATGAGACAAGCCTGGCATTTGAAACCATGCATGTCGTAATTTATCATCATCTGCCTCCTAAGTTCCATATAATAAGACTTAATTTACATTGTTATTTACCTACTAGTATTGTATCCACTTCCTTTTAATGGTTCAGATAGTAATGTAAGATGAAAAAATACATACTGTAGATATGTAATGTTCACAAATGCCGTAGTTATAGTTAATATCAATTGATATTTAAATGAATATTCTGCCCTCCTTTTAAATTCTATATTATTTTGTTTTTTTGGATTGTTTTCATTGTAGTTTGGAAAAACAAATACAAGCAAAGATTGAGGAATTTAGCGTAATACTTGCTAAGATCAAAGGTCAGGGCAATGTCGCATTAGGTCAACCCAGTCAACGTAGCATTGTACAAGAGGAAGCTGATGCTGTGCTTTGTCCGCTTGTTGGTCTCCTTGACGAGAAGTATGATTTTTTTTTTTAGTTCAATCTCTGTAGATTATTTATTTCTACTTTGCATTTTATTACTTATATACAATATATAGTACAGAGCAATTGGAGTAATCTGAATGTATATCATCCTTGCGACTCCATTCCATTATTGATTTTGTGGCTAAATAATTGTTAATTTGAATTGGAGGAAACGTTTCACTGTTGGGGTAGAAGGTAAATGCAAAACCAGAGCTCTGCCCTTACAATATGAATAGGGATAAACATATATAAAGTACCTTTAATATCCAAGAACTAAAGCAAAATGCACAAAATGGCATTTGATTCCCCAACTTGAAAGGTGTGAGTCACAACTGCTGCAAACATTACATTCAATGGTTTGAATTCTTTGTCATGTTCTATTTTGTCATTGTTATTTCCACCCACAAGATCTGTAGATTCAAATGCCAATGTAATATTTATCCTCAAATGTGAGGTAATCAATCAGTGGACATTGATATTATAATACTGTCATGCTTAGGATCAACATTCATCCTTTCAAATATCTGTTGATTAAACATTGAAGGCTCTACTTGAGTGTAACCACAATTTTGATTTGATTTTCTCCCTTTTCTACAAAAAAAAACAGCCTCATGGATTTAAATCAAAACTGTGAGAAAACAGTATTGAAGAAGCTTCTAAAGGAGATCTGGAAAATCTCAATGACGAATCTTGAAAAGACAGTTGTTCTACCTCCTATGTCTGATATGTCGGTGAGTAAATCGTGTTAGTGTGGTGTAAAGTTGATGGACATCCAATAATTAATACGTTATCTCGCAAGATTCAAACAGTTTCCCGCTTACAATAATATTTGCTTAATTGTTATGAAATCGTACAATTTTCTGCAAAACTTCCTGCTGTCTCACCCTAAAAGCACTCGTCAAAAATGAGGTTATTAACAAAGTTTTGTTTTGTTTTTTTTTTTTATTTGAAGGTGAATATCAAGCATAATTATTTATTTTGTTTACAGCAGTCTAATGATGAATGTCTGCAGGAGCAACTCTGTACAATGAACCTTTCTGCTAATCCGCGCCCCTTGCATATTTTTGCTAAGATCCCATTAAACGATAGCAAAAGCATACGCACACATGTGTGTTTGTGAGACGCGCATATTCCTTGCCCTGTTCTCATTGGTCAGATGTTAAGTTTGATTGAAACTCCGGAAAGGTTCATTTACCTCTACTAATACATACCAATGATCTTATAAACACAAGGTAACATTCTCCGCAATTTACGCATAACAAATAGAAGCGTAGAATTGGCAGCAGAAAGTAATCATTTTTGGGAGAGGGTGTCCTAGTTGTGTTGCCGTTGATCTGAGATAAGGTGTTCGCGTTACGCCAAAGTTCGTTACAAAGTACGCTGTTCCTTAATTGTAAATCGATGTTTCTATTTGTTACGCGTAAAGGTAAATTTGTGCGGTGTACGCCATGGTCAAAGCAGTCAAAGTTCAAAAGTTTTCATTTTTGCAAGAGGGCGTCGTACACTGCGTTATTACAGAATTTGCTATCTTGGGTTTATAAGATCTTTGTACATACCTTTCCTGTTTGATTAAACATTTATTGGTTATTAACTGTCTTCTAAATTCCTATTTAATAATATTTTTTGTTGGCCATAATGTATACAATGTGCTATTGTCCACCGTGTTTGACTTTTTTATCATCGCATTTATTTCTTTATGGTAGGTGCTGTAGCGCTCCATTAGCATCTTTATATAATGTTAATAATTCTTGTGCCACTTGGTGCAAAATATATTTATATTCTATTTTTCCGTTTTTATCCTGGAATTCAGATTTCTTTGTTTTTTATTGTGTAAGTACAAAACAGTTTTTCCTGGAAATTAGGTATAATCAGGTGCATGCTTCGGAATATGGTAATAAGATCACAACAACAATTGCAATTGGGGTTTTATAATCAGAGCTTTGGTGGGTGTTTGTTTTCTTGTTTTTCTTTTGTACACTGGGAATAAGGAAAATGTCAGATGTCGGTTTGCAAGTTGTGTAAGATTTCCAAGGAAGCAGCGAGCCGAAAGTATGTCAGTTCTGTGTCAAGGTGATAGATGCAATTAAATCACTTTATGGCAAGAGTTTAATCTGTAATTTCTTCTTTAATTTGCAATCCAATTAGATGTGCTCATTTAATGCATTGTGTTTGGATTCAAAATCTGTCTATGCGTTATCAAAAATACCTCAAAATTATAATAACGTTGACTCAGTTAAATAGACAAATTATTGTGTGGCCATCACTTTTGGTCTGTCATTTAATGTTGTGTGTTGCAATAAAATACAGCCAAAATAACAAACCTAACTTTATTGAATGACGGCAATTGTAGATTTACAATAGTACTGTATATAAAATTGGATTTGAAAAAAAAAAAAGTGGTGTAATATATCTAACGAGGTGTGTATGCAGTGTTTATTGACTAATGTGGCACATGGTACTTTTGAGGTATAAGTCATTTTACTCAGTGGAAGTAAAGATTGTTTGATTTATTGGATAGTTTTTAGGACAGAGACAATAATGAATACTTTAGTTTAAATCACATCTCCATTAGCTTTATTTCTTGGCTGGCAATATTGTTCACTGTTGGTCCCAAATGATCAGCTTAGACCATGCCATCACTTATGAGGATGGCTTTTGATTTGACATCCATTAACATCCAACCATTGGTTGCAACTTATGAAAAATTTATTTTCTCTATCTTATCCTTAATAACTAGAGAGAGGGCGCTATGTATGTTGCTTTTTTTCTGTCTTTCGTAGAAAACATTAGGGCCTACTATTTAAAAAGAAAAAAAAGCAGATATATAAAAGTATACATTTAAATTCCTGGCAATTAAAATTTTCAATTTTGTAACCTTGATACGTCCTAATTTTGTGATCTAACCTATTTTAATTACAGTATATTTCTTTTGTATTATTATTCTTATCTTCAACTGTTTTATTTTTAAATCTATGAAAAATGTTCTGTTTTTAAAACTTTTGTTTTTGGGCATGTAATCTTTTGCAATTTTAATTTTTTGCTTATAAGATATGCAAAAAGTTTTGTTTATACTCAACTACACTTGCAGTCTTAAAAAACCTCTGCTATCTTGCTTACACTTGTGTTCCCCCACTAACCAGCTTGTTTTGACATATATGAAGCAGTCCCCATATAAAAGCTCTTCATGATTCAATCAACCAATAAATAATGAGAAATTATTTATTATCTTCCCTTACTGTGTGGGACTCTTCACGCTTGTTGCAGTTGAGTTTCCTAATGTTCCACATTTACTAGTCTACTTTATTAATTTGTATATTTTTTTAAATTTATTTTTCCTTTTTTTTAAATATATCATTTATTTGCTAATAACTTGGGGTAAAGTCAGCATCTGAAATTTGGCTCTTGGGATCTTGAGTGATGTTGACTCCTTTGGGTAATAAGTTCCAAAGACAGATGTCATTTGGTAATTAAAGGTGCTGAAGTTGGACCCCCCTGGGTACTAGATTAATTCATGATAATGCACATATCTAAAACAAAAAAAAATATCCATTCCACTCCCAAAACATTTAATATGTTTGCACATTTTACTACTGTATTATTGTCTCCCTGATATCAGTGAGGTGTGTTTGAAAAAATAGATTATACCAAATTGGGTTCCTTTTTGACAGCATCTCTGTCGTTTATTGCAGAAGTTCAATGAACAAAGAATTTCGGCCAACTGGCGATAATGTTCTTTCCCAATTGCTTTGCAATATGTGAAATTAGCTTATTTGGGATTGTGATTCATTTATTTCTTTTCTTTATCATTATATAATTTATATCTTCATTTGTCTTTAATTTGGGTGTGCTTTTTTTTTTTTGTATCTGTTGCTAATTTGAGGTATTTTATTTTTGTTTTGATACATTTTCTAAGTCTGTATAATCACTTTCATTTTCTCTTGGATTGCGGCCTATAGAAAAATTCTATATTAGCCTCTTTCAATCCAAATGCCTTAGTCAAATTACCGGGTCAGGACAATATGGTCACACGGAAACTGGCTCAGCATGCCGAGGTAACTAGTAGTAGCTATACTAGCTTCATTCAGTTTCAGATTCTAATTCCCAACTGCATTATTCTACATATATATAGCTCATATGGGATTGTGGTCTTTTTGAATTCATTTCCTTATTATAATTATTTAATTGTTAATTTTAATTTGTTAATTTTTTGGTTCTTTCCTACCCAGACTTGTAGAAGAACAACTTTTGTTGAAACAAGGTTTAAAATAAAGTTAATTATTATATATATTGTCTTTATTTTGGGTGAATTTTTTTTTTTTTTTTTTTTTTTTCTTTTTTTTTTTTTGTATCAGTTGAAAATTTGAGGTGTTTTTATTTTTGTTTTCCTGATACAGTTTCTAACCTAGAATGGAAGTTAATATCTGTTTTATTACTTTCATTTTCTCTTGGATTGCGGCCTATAGAAAAATTCTATATTAGCCTCATTCAATCCAAATACATTAGTCAAATTACCGGGTCAGGACAATACAGTCGCACGGAAACTGGCTCAGCATGCCGAGGGTAACAAGTGGTTAACCACGGCTCTGGTAAACACTGATTTGCACATTGTTTGCATAACATTTGCATATCTTGTAGATTGTATGGTGATAGTGATAAAAGGTGAACAGGTCAGTTCATATCCTTAATACTCCAAAACCTACCACTTTCACATTATTTAAAAAACTTTGAAGCAATTGCATATAATAATGATTATTAAATTATTGCTTTTTCTGTGGCAGCATCCGACTAAAAAAAACCTGTTGAAGTTGTGGGTCATTGGAGTGAAATCAGGATGTGAACTGAACTGTAACTGCCGTAAATGCTGCCCGTGTTTAGTTGCTATTAATATTTGTTTTTGTTTTATTTGTTTCAATTAAGTTTTATCTCACCCATTCTCAAGTTTGGTCTTTTTTTGTTTCCTTCCTGGTCAGTGTGATCGTAGGCATGAAATGATGCCTTGTTTGCGCTGTGAAATTTCACCTGCTGAATATTTGTCCCAATTCCCAAAGCAAATGATACTTTATCAAGATTCATTCAACAGATTTTAATCAGTGGCGTATCTATGATTATTGACATGGGGCTGATGGGTCATAAAGGTAGAGGGCGGGCTCAAAGATTAATTGGCTTATGATAACTGGGGAAATAAAATGTGTAATTTCCAGTGGTGGGCACCTAGGGATGCAAGCTTTTTTGGAACCTGTACTCAAGGTCACTCTGCTTTAGATATGCCTGCCCCTCTGCTCTAGTATGCCATTGGTGTAAAGTGTAGTTCATGGACTTGGAGATAAGATAATAACAATATATGTCACATCTTGTGACAAAGATTTATTATAATTAATTTTGGGTAAAGAAATTATTTATTTGAAGTCGTTGTGCTTGTGTTGTAAATTCTATTGATGACATTGCTGAAGCAATTGTGGATTTTGCATGTATATTGTTTGTTAGGTAATAACATGTGCTCCTGAAATGTTTCCATTTCCACCCTCCTGTTGGTTAAAAAAATATTTCATAACTTTTCGAAAATTAAAAACCATTTATCTTAAATGCAAACCTGTTTCACAATCCTTCAAGCCGTAATTTTGGTCATTATTATTATTCATTATTTTATGCTGTTAATATTTTAACATTTACACAATTTAAAGTATATCAATGGAAATACTATAAAATGCTTTGGTAATTGACGAGGAATATTGTACAATAGATATTGCTATTAAATACCATTGGTAATTGTTGTATGTCGTATAATGGCATTTGCCAATGAAAAAAACATAAGGAAATAATATTATAAAGGCTTTTTAATAATAACTGTTCACTTAGCAGAGTAAATCTCTGCTTCTACCATATTGTTATAATTATCATCATCATCATCATCATCACCATCCTATGCAATAATACTATTTTTCTATGACTATTATCGTTCTATTGCATACCATGGAATGGTTATTCCTATGCAATGACAATGATAGTTACTATTGTATCTAATATAAATTATACCATTGTATACAATGGTAACTATAGTTTACTACTGCATACAATACATTGACAATTGCTAAAAAAGACGATGCGATGACAATAATAAATGCCATTGCAGTCATATTTGTGAATTATGCAGTGGTGTTTCCAATGAATAACATGCTTCATTAATATTAATTCTAATGAATAGCAAAGGGGGTATAATTCATTTTTAATAATTAAGTATACAATTAAGTGTATTTCACTTAACAGAATTTGTATAGTTGATTGACCATGGTTTTTTATATTTCTGTGGCTTTTCATTTCATTAAATATCGAGTGAATTGTTGCAACATATGCTTTATATGATTTCATTCCATGATGCTGTGATTGTGGTGTTATCGTTCTAGTTGCCTCAACCTAGTCATGTAATTTGTCTTGGTGTTTTTGTCCACGTTTGGTTGTAGTAAAGTAGCTCTAGTTAAGTTTTACTACAATTCAATATTTTTCAATTTTTATTTGGCACTTTCTTACACGATATCTTCATTGGCAATTAATTTGGGAATAATAACAATCTGGAGTACAGTATATACATACTCAGTAAAAGCCATTTGATTGAGAATGCATGCTAATATATACTTACCATTTCAGGACATGGGCAAGGAAGAAGGCAAGAACCTGACGCCAAAGCAGTGTGCTGTTGTTGATATGGCACTAGATAAGATCAAGGTAGTCACCTAATTTATGTTTTTTTTTTTTCATTTTATTTAACACAACGCATAAATACAATATAAAATTCTTCAGAAAGGTAAATAAATAACAAGGACAATGTAATTTAATTAAGTAATATTAACAAATTATTAAGTTACAATAAATGGTAATAAGTGAAGATATAGTAATTAATAATAACAATAATAAAAAAAAATAATAATAATAAAGATAATAAAAATAATAATAAAGATAATAAAAATTATAATAGTAATAATAATAGTAAAAATAATAATAATAAAAATAATAATAATAACAATAATAATAACAATAATAATAATAATAGTAAGGTTGTGTGCGGAGGACACAATAAGCCATTAAGGTTTTAAGTCAGTGCCTTCGTGTTAATAATAATAATAATGGTAATAATAAATGTGATCATGATAACAATGTGTAATATAATAACGTCTTTTTTGGCGGCAATGAAAACAACAACTGTGTTGTAATACTATTATTTTTTGTCAATGTCTGTTTGGTTATTATTGTTAATGACTAGAGATACGCTCGCTTCGCTTACTTACCCTCTAGTATTTCGTTCCAATAAAAGAGAACAATTATTCATGACCACGGACTAAAAGAAGGAAGTATAAATATAAGTATATATATTATAGTTATATATTTATACTTCCTTGATTGCATGGTGTCTCCTTAAGTTGTTTCATTAGATAAAAAAATTGATTTTTGTTCTTTCCCTACATGTAGAATTTATCGATATATTCTCCCCTGTTATGTGGGTCCAATTATCCTGCCCTGCTTTAGCTTGGCCTGATCGTATAGAAATATGAATACATTTACAAATGCATTATTAAACTTGAATTTGAGGGCTAACACTAATATGTTTAATAACGCATACCAAATACAGCTAACCTGAACTGCAAGCATACATGCTTATCATTTAGTACCATTATCATCTGTTGTGTTTAAATGGTTTAACACTGCAAAACACGACTAGGAGAATGCAGAAATACAAATTTAAACACAATGCCTAGCGAAGCACTACCGGTCTCGTGAAAAATGACATTAAAAAGTTTTTACTGGTGCAGCGGGAACGGTTTCCGAACCTCAAGGTCAGGATTTCAATCCCTTGCTGTGCATTTCGCTTTGTGTCCTTGAGCAAGGCATTTTTATCTGCATTGCTTCTCTCCACCCAGGAGTATAAATGGGTACTTGGTGGGGTTGCCTGCTCCTACACCAAAATATATATTGTAAACTAGATGAATAATATAAATACTAATTTTGTGATTACAGTCATACTTTCATGCATCTGGAAGTGGCCTAAGGAAAGCGTTTTTAGAGCGTAGCGAAGAGCTGCAGTCATTGAGATATGCTCTCTCATTATACACTCAGACTACAGACACACTGATCAAAACGTTTGTTAAAAATCAAACAACTCAAGGTAAGATTTTACTAGTATTCTTAGATTAGCTTACATATTAAATGGCAGGTCAGATCCAGGGCGATAGGCCCCCTCCCCCATAAAGATAGAAAAATAGAGAGAACAAAAGAAAGGAGAAAGCGGGGAGCACAGTATTCTATATAAACAATTTTTTAAATTAAATTCCATGTACCAGTGTTTTGGTCAAGTATTTCTAAACAAAAATCGCAAGCACTACCCACCCCGCCCCCTGCTCTGTGTTTCACAGATCACAATTATTATTATGAATAAATATTTCTGAACAGTACTTAGTGTTTACCTATATGGCTTACATTTTAAATGATCCTATTTACTTGCACAGTGGTTGAGACCCCTATCAACGCTGAGCATGTTTTTGGACCCCATCACCGATTGTAAGAGTTCCTAGTGCTTTTACAACCAAAGTCTATCTTTTAATTATCTTTTTAAATTAAAATCTAATAATAATACTGGGTAGGATTTGATTCTGGTATAAACACAGTTGCGATTTTCCCTCACCGACTTCTAGATATGCCACTGTATAAACAAGCTACAAAGCTAAGAGTGAATGATAAATAGAATAACTGTATGTTCTAACTTTGATAGATTCGCCAAGTACATCTGATAGTGTAGGAGAGGTGTCCATACAGGTTGATTTATTCACGCATCCTGGGACAGGTGAACATAAAGTAACAGTTAAAGGTGAGTCATTATTTCCACACTATCTGTCTCCACATAGTAGAATAAATGGGTAACTGGCAGATTTGATTACTAATACACTGTCAGCTGCATATATTTAATAGGATCAATTATTTTCATAACTTTCAGTGAGACTGACCTTGGTATTCTTAAGACAAACTTATAGTTGTAGTTCAAGCTAAAACTTGCTAGAAATTATTTCAATTCATATTCTTAAAACCAACTTTGACTAGCACCTAAATCATGTGCACCTCGACTAAAATAATAATAAAATAACTCCACAGTTAAGTCAGCATAAGGTCAGACTAAATATTTACCCAATTAAAAACATGCTTTATGTAACCCACGATAGAGGGAAAAGAATAAAAGCGATTGTATACGTAGGTCTGATGTAACTTTGGTGTAGATACATCAAGTTTAGCTTCCAAAAGGCAAAATTAAGATGATAGGTGATAGTTCCTGATTTGCACAAAATCTCCTCGCGTTGCCGTCACGTAGCTTCATCGTAACAACCAGATGGTGCTGCCCTTGCATGGGCTTAATTATAATAGTTCTCCAAAGAAAGCAAATTTTCAGTGACTGTTGAAATTCTCTATTGTTATATGTTAACGACTAATATAGTTATTATAGAAAATTAATTAATGATGTTGTAATATTTAAAAAAAGTTCAAAGTTCAAAGTTCGACTATAGTTCATTTTAAGAGTTCCTGTGTTTATGATTTAGACTTACTTTACATTAAACATTTTACTAGTTCAAATTGAATACTGCAGATTTAAAATTGTGTGCAAGTAATATAGAGAATATTTACGCATCAAAACATTTTTTTTTTCAGTTAAAAGCTAGTAAATTTTTTTATTTTTTTTATTTTATTTTATTTTATTTTTTATTCATATATTGAAAGTCATTGTTGCAATTTAATTGATATATGTACTCTATATATTATATTCTATAGTGGTGGCTGCTAATGACTTGAAGTGGCACACAACAAGTATGTTCCGACCGTTTGTGGAGGTGAATATGATTGGACCGCATCTGAGTGATAAAAGACGCAAGCATTCCACGAAATCCAAAAGCAACAATTGGGCTCCAAAATACAACGAAACTTTCCATTTGTAAGTGATATCTTCTATTACCCCCTACCTATTATCTGTTGGGCCAAAACAAAATCAAGAAAAAACGGACTAGGCCTATAGGGGCTTATTGCTACCACCACTCAACCCCTATATTTTGGTAGATAAAGTTGTGCCCACATTGTTAAAGTTTCTCGTCATTTTATCTCCTTTAATACTAGATTTGTAAAGATTGTGAGTCGGTTGGATTTTGGGCAAATCTAAGTGTTTATTTTTTTTGCCTAATAATAATAATGTTACAATGTATAGTCTTGGTTAAAATAGTAAAAAATTAATTGTGATGATCACTCTTAGCATGTTGAAGATGTACTATTAGTCAAAAAGACTGAAAATACCTCAAAAATTCAAATATAATTTGTAATAGGTCATTTAAAAGGATCTAATAAATTATTAGCTTCCACAGAAAAGCAGATTTATAAAAATTAGTTTTCCCCAATTACAGACATTTTACTACAAAAATCCTTGAATTGATTACCAGCCAACTTAAGGATCTACAGCACTGTATGCAAAAGAATACAAGAATGTATTTAACTGTCTGAAAATCGACAGGGGAGTTTTTTTTTTTTAATTCAAATTTTTAATAACTTACTTAAGTACTGTATACAAATCAAGCAATTCAATGTAGAATTAAACTTTTAAGTTTTTTTTCCTTATGACTGATAGTACATCTTTGTAGATTACTTGTAGTTTAAATAAACTAAAAGACTTTGACCTTCCTTCAATCAAGTGTGGTGAAATATATTTTCTTTCTTTAAACATCCAGTATCCTTGGTAACGAAGATGAACCAGATGCGTATGAATTAAACATCTGTGTGAAGGATTACTGCTTTGCCAGGGAAGACCACCTTATTGGTATAGGAATCCTGCAGCTACGGGACATCGTAGAACCTGGAAGCTGTGCATGCTGGACTGCTTTAGGAAGAAGTCTCTACATGAACGACACTGGTTGGACCATTTTAAGAATTCTCTCCCAACGGACCAATGACGAAGTAGCGAGGGAGTTTGTGAGATTGAAATCAGAATGCCGGTCTGTTGGTGGCGAGCCTTAGATGTCGGTATGGCAATCATCCAAGATGCAAAGTGATTGAATAAATATCGATTACGACATGATAATTCAAAAATTTACTTAAAGTGGTTCTTTCACACATTGGTGTTTTATGTGCACGTACAATAAATTTAAACAAGAATGTTTACTGAGGCTATGCACAGCATCACAACCAGTCAAAGACTGAGAGCTCAGGATGTTGCATTTTAACAGAAGAAATAAGGATGAATGCAGCTTAAAATTTTTTATGAGATGAACTATGATGAGAGAGCCACTTCAAGAAATTCTTTTTAAGTTGTTGTTTATATATACATATAGATATGTATATATATATATATAC